GTCGGTGCGTCAGCAGCGCTGCACGGCCGACGGTGCGTCAGCAGGCAGCAGCAGCACCGCTGGGCTGTTGGCGCTACACGTCAGCGGCGCCATACGGTCGTCGGTGCGTCAGCAGGCAGCAGCAGCACCGCTGGGCTGTTGGCGCTATACGTCCGTCGGTGCGTCAGCGGCGCCACACGGCCAGTCCGTCGAAATAGACCTTCGCAGCCACCGCGGCGGAGCTTTCTTGACGCAACCACCGGCCGCCAGCTGCAACCAGCGGGTGGCGCAACCGGCCGCCTGTGGACCGCCGCGCACCGAACGGCCGCCGCCGCCGCTCGCGTTCGTTACGGCAAACCGAAGCGGAAATCATTAATGCCCGCTGGCGGAAGTGGGAGGTCGGCCAGCCACGGCCCAGCGGCTGTGGCACGGGCGCCGGCCGGAGCCGTATCGGGCCGTCGCTCGGCTGCAGCGGCCGGCGCGGCGGCGGCAGCGGGCCTGGCCGGGCAGCGGCGCCGCCAGGGCAGGCCTGGCCGGAGCAGTCGGACCACCAGTGGCGGAGGCACCCACCGACCATCGGGCGGCACGCCATACAAAATAAAATATCGCAGTAGTTGAGACAAGACGCGAGGAACTAATGAGCTCATTGGAGCCAAAAGACATTGCAATGTTGTAGCAACAAACATTTTTACATGCATTATTGCATACATTTCAGCAACGACGCGGCTCATTCTAACAGCCGAACCGGTTTTCCCTTTGTGGACTAATGGCCGCAGAGGAGGGCTGCCCTTGCCGTCTCCTACCAGATACCGTTTACCCTGCTACGACCCCCACCCGTGGCCCCAGAATATCCACCTCCCGGTCTCTCAGTGCTGCCGTCGCCCTGCAGCGCGGCACCCCAGCTGGCGCTCCCCAGGCCACGATCAGGTGACGCTCCCCTGCGCCGCGGGCGTCATCCTATCCGGCGGCGGCGGCGGCGGCGGCAGCGGCGGCGGCGGCGCGGCGCACCCCGCCCCGAGCGGCCCGGCATGTCCGACCGGCGGACCCAGCCACCCCGCGCCGCCGCCGGGCCCTTGTATAATTCACAAAATGTCTCTCCACCCCCTTCTTAGACCTCATCACAGATCCTACCTTACGGGGACGTTTTTACGAACAAACACCCTCCAGCACTTGTTAGGTGTTATTGCGCCACGAAGGGCCAAAGTCCCAGCCAGTACCGGCGGCGCAGCGACCATCTAGCGCGCCGATTGGAGCCGCCCGTCGATAAGGGTCAGAATGGCGTGGGTGATTGCGAAAATATCGTACTTATGCGTCCGGGCGAGGCGGTGGCGAGGCCTTCATCCATTTGGTTCAAAGGCCCCGTGGACGGTAGGGGGGATAAGAGGGCACCTGACTGGCGAACGCGGCCGTTCCGACCCGAGCCGATGGATTCCACGGCACCCCGACCGGTAACACAGTTTCATCCCCCGCGGCGCCGCCGGCGGACACACGCGATGACGCACACGGTGACGCACGCGCCGACTACGCGCCGCGCACCCACGGCGGATGGTACGGAAAAGGATTTCCACCGACCTGGCGAGTTGGCAACTATCGAGCAAAAACCGCCTCCAGCGTCGCGGAATGGCAGCCGCACTGCGGGCGGGGGCCGGGTAACGGAAGGCTGCGTGGGACTGGCGAGCTGCGCACAGTGCGACGTGCGCCCGACGCCTGCGCTCTTTGTCGGCGAGTGTGGCAACTCCACAAGCGACGAACGGCGCACGTCTTGAAACGACCCACACTTGATAAATGATATCATGCGTCAAAGCTCAGCGTCCATTGCGGCGAACCAGACAGCAAAGGCTAGTTCGATCTTATCATATCAAGCGATCGATCTTATGATAAGGTAGTGATAGCGAAGTGATAAGCTGTTATAACCCTCAGCAAAAAAGCGTAGAATATTACCGAAAAACGGCAGTGAAGGATAAATAGAACTTTGTTCATCAGACAAATTCAGGCTGCCTTTTCGGACCGATGAGCACGCTATCAAAGTCCCATAAGGCAGCGCCGGCCGCCGGCCTGGAATGCTTTCAGTCATCTGGCTGGATTGAACGGGCCGGTCGGAAAGGGACGGGCTGGGGACGGGCGGGGATGGGCTGGGGACGGGAATAGGGACGGGGAGCGAGCGCCTCCGACCGCCAGTCGAGCCGAGGGGAGGGGAGCCAGGCAGGTCTGGTATGCCGGCAATGTCCTCCCCTCGCCGGCGGCGCTGCCGGACGCGGTGGCGGCGCCGGCGCGCGGCGGCGCGTCTGGCTTCGACCCGGCTGCGGTGAACAGGTGTGCCGCCTCGCTCCGGCACCACCCGGCGCCGCGCCACCCCTCCTGCTTGTGCCGCAGCCGGCTGGACCGCAGCCGCGGCTCACCGACAGGGTTTCAGCCGCCGCACCAGGGTTTCAGCGAACGGTAAATAGCCGCCTGGTCCGCGCAGTGGAGGAGGGCGCTGGACGGTGAGACAGACTGGTTTTCGGCAGAGCTGCGGACGGCCAGCGGCAGCCGCACGGCGCGGCGCCCGTATCCGGGCCGGCAGGTGGGCCCGCGGCCGCCCAGTTCCCGACGGCGCAGCGCGGCCCGGGGGAACGGGGAGGGGCAGGTCGTCGCCCTCGCTCCCCCTCTCGGAACTCACACACCCCGATGATCCGAGCTAACGAACCGCATGCCGAAAAAGAGGGGGAGAGGGAGGCAGCGAGGGAGGGGTAGGGAGCCGGGCAGCTGTACCGATGTAGTCCACCTGTCGTGTTTGGCGGCGCATTCCCCCACAGGGGGTGCGCGCTGGGTGCAACTTGTCACCAAACTACTGGATAGCGGGCCCATCGATCCACGGGCACCTCAAACAATGGAGCCGCAACCACACCAGGTTTTAATGAAAAGTTGCAAAGACAAATTAAAAAGCGGCAATTTTTAGAGTCAGTGACCTCCAGAGGCCAAATGTGGACACGAAGCAAATCAGCCGACGCACATTGAAAGTATATTCATTATCAAGTTTTAGTTTCGCACAATATCTGCCCATTTTCGACCCAGAGTAGATGGTTCGGGGAGTTCCTCACTTTCCTCCATATTCGCCTCCTAGTTTCTACCTTACCCAAACTCCAGTACTCGGAAAGAAGCAGCCATGAGGCTTTGCTTTGTGCTTGGAAAACAATAATATGTTTCCGTTTAAAGACCATTTCTAACATTTACATTGAACTTTGTATTGTATTGTATTGTTACGAGCGAGCGAGCGCAGCGAGCGAAGTGAGTCTTTTCAATATAACGGAAAAATCTCAGTATGAGCGGCCCGGCCCGGCCCGGCCCGGCCCGGCCTGTAACGCTTTTGAGAGGCTTATATCTCAGCAACCGCTGGACCGATTGGCCTGCGGTCTTTTTTGTTGGGTAGCCCCATCCCTTCTACCCCGTAATTGACTACTTTTGATACATCTCAGTGACCGTCGTGGCACGTGCCACGTGAAAAGTCAAGGGTGTTCAAGCTGTTTTGCAAAAGTAGTGATTTTGAGAGGCTCATATCTCAGCAGCCGCTTGAGCGATTGACTTGCGGTAATTTTTGTAGGGTAGCAGCATCCCTTCTACCCAAAATAGGATACTCTCGATGCATGTGGGTCACCCCCAGTGCACGTGCAAAATACAACAATAAGAGGTGCCAAATTTGTTCCCATTTCCGTAACTCGGTAATTACTGGGGCGATTTCGCTGAAACTTGGCATACAGGTAGGCACCCACCAGGCAATGCATTCCCATGTGTTGCGGTTAGGGTGCTACTGCACGTGCGCACGTGCAGAGGGCGTTTCCAGATCTCGAGAATCTCGAGAGATTGCGCTCAAATTTAGTACACGGTTGGGGACCAGTTAGTAGGGTGCCGTGCAAAAGTCATTTTGGACCCCGTTTGCACGTGCGCACGTGCAGAATGCCGCTTCCAGATCTCAGGAACGGCTGGGCCGATTGCGTTCAAATTTGGCACACCGCTAGCGACCAGTTAGAAGGGTGCTTTGCGCAAGCCCGTTGGAAGCACCCTCTCGCCCTTCCGCACGTGCAGGGCTCACTATCTCGCTCGCTCGTTCTTCGCCCAAAAGGCGTTTTACTGGTATTGTATTTACATTTAAGAGCGATCCACATACAAAGTGCGTGGCGATTACCCGTTCAGATAAAGAATAAATGTTCCCTATAATTTGCACAGCTTTTTACAAAACATCGGTCCGTAATATCACATCCAGGACACCACCGCTAGCCGGTTCGGCTTTCAGTCCAGCAGCGGCCGTCGCCGGCCATGTTTCGGGCCAGCCCGGCCCCAGCGGCCACCTGTGCCGCCTTATCGCGCGCCGCCGCCGCCGCCGCCGGCTGGCCGAGGGTGCAGCCGTGCAGCCGGTCGGCGGCCGCCGCCGCTGGCGCGCTGCCAGCACGGCCGCTCACGCAGCCGGCCAGCCCACCGCCGTGGCCCGGCGCCGCCCCAGCCCAGCCGCCCTTATCTGGCATCGCCGCACCGCCGATCCGGCGAAAATGCTGAAAGCCCAGGCGGCGGCGGAGGGACGATACTTCACTGTTCAGACTTTGTCGAACTCTAAGCCCATCTCTGAGAGTCGATATTAGGTTGTCGCTTAGTTGGCTGCGCCATCTCAAAGTGCAGCGGAGTCCCGAGTCGACCACCCCGGAGCCGCGAGTGACCCAGCGGAGCTCCCACAGGCAGCGACAACCATCCGCGACGGAGGAGCACTTCATAGCACTGCATTGGGGTACCGGTACACGTTCAGGACAGGGCCGGCTGAAGAGCTGCAGCCAGCCGGCCGAGTCAGCACTCCACCCGCGGTATCGGGCGGCTCGGCTTGGCGGCTGGCGCAGCAGCACGGAAACCGTGCGTGCGGCGGCCGCACACGGCCGGCCTGGCGTCGCGCCCGCTGCCGACATCGACCGAGCCGGCGGCGGCGACCACAAGGCCAGCCAGCCAGCCAGCCAGCCAGCCGGCGGCGTGGGACCGCAGGCCGGCGCCGGTCCACTCACCGTCATTGATGACGTCATAGGTGGGCGACATGCGCTGGTGAGCGTCCATGGTGACCGGGTTCAGGCCGGGAGAGAGGTTCAGCACCGGTGGCGAGTGCGCGCCGAACAGAGGCGTCTCCTGCAAAACAGAACAGACACAACGTCAGCGGCAGTCAGCTGCTGGGCGACACAGCAGACGGTAACAGCCGGGCAGCAGCGGTAACAGTCGTCCCTGACGGTAACAGACTACTGAGGGTAACACATCAGACGGTAGCAGTCCGACAGTAATGGTAACAGTCCGTCCCTGACGGTAAAGGTCCACCTGAGGGCAACACAGCAGACGATAACGGGCCAAAAGTAGCGTCAACAGTCCACCACTGACGGAAACAGACCACTGGTGGCAACAAAGCAGACGGTTACAACCCGACAGAAGCGGTAACAGGCAACAGTCCGTCACTGACGGTAACAACTAACAGGCAACAGTCCACTGAGGGCGCCACAATAATCGGTAACAACCAGACAATAACGCAGGCAACAGGTAGCCTGCACGCAGGCACAGACAGCAACAAGCAGTAGCGCACAGTGAGGGCAACATATTGACGGTAACAGTCCAACAGTAACAACAGCAGGCAACAGTTCGTCACTGACGGTAACGGGCCGATGAGAGCGACACAACACACCGTGTCAAACAGCGTTAAACTTCCAACACCAGTCGCAAGCCAGTGCAAGCCAGTCGCTCACTGCTCTCACAGAACACCGTGGTACAATAGAACACACTGTTCTCACAGAACACTGCCCTCATAGCACGATGCGGTACACAGCACATCATGGCGCAGCTCTACACAGACGGCACAGTCACAAAAATTCGACACAAAACACTGTGTTACAGTCTCACATTGTTCTCACAGTACACCGTACAGCCAGCCTCGGCAGCGTGTGGCAGTGCCCAACACAGACAGCACAGTATAGCACACATATATAGTCGAAAGAGCACACTGATATAATAGAGTACACAAGGCATAACACCACACTGGCGGTACAACACGTTGTGGTGCAGTCTCACACAGACAGCAAAGCACAATGTGGTAAAACCTCACGCTGATGACACAGCACACTGGAACAGGTCTACGTATGAAACACAGCACAGTGCACACTGTGGTACACCCTCACACGCGACGACACAACACACTGAGATAGAGCACACTGTGACTTAGCGTCACACGGACGGCGCAGCACACTAGCGAAGTCCTTCACAGCCGACACAATACATTGTGATACAGCAGCACGCAGACGGCGCAGCATACTGGCACGGTTTCACGCATAGGACACAACACACTCATGTGACAATGTGTCACAACGCTCACATGGCACTAAGCACACTCTGTGGCACGGCTTAGCACCGCTTGCTAAAAACAGTGCAATGTGGCCAACCAGCCACACGCAGTCGACTTGGCGTACTGTCGCCAACTAACCGCACACATGTGACACAATACACTGTAACCAAACCAAACGCATGTGACACAGCTCACCGTGGCCAACGAGCCTCGCATGGGGACACATTACACACGGGAACGAAACGGACACGGGAACGAAACGGACACGGGAACGAAACTGACACGGGAACGAAACGGACACGGGAACGAAACGGCCGTGTTCCCAACAGTCTCACACCGGCGGCGCAGAGGATTGCCATACCTACATGCGTGTTTCGCCTGAGGCGGTCAGAGAGTTCGGTAATTTTTGGGTCAGAGGGCCCACCCCGGTCCCCGCCGAGCGACTGACCTGGTGAAGGACGTTGATGTTGAGCGGCGGGGAGGTCTGGGCGGCGGCGCCGGCCTGGCCGCACTCGGCTCCGAAGAGGACGGGCGCAGACGAGGAGGGCACAGACATCACCGGCTTGTCACCATGGTGGCGGCCCTGCTCGGACGTGGCCACTGGCATCGCAGGCGGGGCCGGCACACAGCGCTCCTGTCGGCACACACACGGCCGGCCGGCCACTATCAGCCGGCGCACGCGCACTGACGCACCCCCGACACCGACCGGCGCAGGGCGGCCCGCCGGGCACCGCCAGCTGCAGAGCAGGGCACGGACACAGCACCCAGCTCTCAGCTCCCACCGCCTTCGGCAGCAGAACCAATCCAAATAGTTTCCAAACTGTCGTTTTCAACATAAGCGCCTCAGTGATTCGCAATTAAACAGTTCCTTTCTAAGGAGCTCGCAAATACAAAGAGATATTTGTTCAGTTTTTGATTTATTCATGGCAGATCAAGGATTTTTAGAGTGAGAAAGACGGCATTTTCCCCACACATTGATGAGTTCGAACTTCCATAGCAGCTGGTGAAATGTAACTTAGGTACGCTGACAAGAAGCATGTTCCGTCGTATCTTCTGTAAAGTGTGGAGTGTATTTTGCACGCATTTGCCCAGTTACAAACCCATGAAAAGAAGCAAAAATCGTGTCAGCAGCGCCGTCGGAACTATTATTGACGAGAAGAATTCACTGGTGTTTGCAAAAATAAAGAGCGAGGTAACCTAATGACCTGAAGCATATTTGAATCTATTTCATTTTATCTCGCTAGAAATTAAAGTATACAGTAACCAGGGATCAACTCAGGTCAGTGGCCTGACCTTTAACTAATTGATTGGGATCCATCGGATTTACCCATTCATCAAAACATTACATTATAGTTCAAAGTTATGCCTTATCTCCAAAGGTTCATTGAAGGCTTGTCTGACGAAACCGGCGATGAACTCTTTATTCATTATCTAAGCTGGTCGTATAGCCTCTTGACCTAGCATCGGGTCATTCTTCATCAGAGAATCGCCAAGGAATGATCGCTTTTCGCAGGTAACTGGGAGCTTCCGCGGGCTCTAACAAATGGCGAGGCGTCCAGCAACGAAACCCATCACATAATGGAGTTACATCACCTACCCCCCCCCCCCCCCCGTACAGGTGAGGACTGAGGAACGATGGCACGGCTGTAGCGGTGCATTGACCTGACCCGGAGTCGGAGTCGAAACCGACCAGGAGTGCGCAGGTGGAGCAACGCCACGTGTCTTTGAAATCCTGCTAGGAGTGAGGATTATTGAATTGATTGTTAAACAAAATTGCATGTATTTCGAGCACTGAACTCTAATATATACTGGAAGGAGCATTGGTGACTTGTTTTTGTCTATCGATTTCCGCCATGTTGTGTATACCAGAAATATAAATTGCATGTACGGTAGCAGAGGTGCAGTTTAGTGAGAGGTACACTACTCAAAAGTGCTGCTGCTTCATGCTTGCAGTTTGATTGCAGTGATCAACTTTTCAAGACTTTGGTATACACAACATGGCGGAAATCGTTAGACATTCTGGCCCATATATGGCCAAGGCGAGTGCCTCCCCCTGATTTCGAGTCTTCCAAAACAATCTGCATGTATTTCGAGTCATCAAACCAATCTAGACTTAAAACTTTATTAGTGCAAGTTTCAAAGATAACACTTTCACAAAACGGATGGATGGAGAAATATTGTGGTGGCATAAATTTCAGCAAAGGTAAGCCTAAATCAGACTAATTCCATTTCATTGCATAAATTAATACAAAATACTTGTTCTTGGTGAATTTGTATTCACAGGGCAGGGTGAACCTGCTTTGAGCTTTTAACCTTCCAGGCGGTGGGGGGGGCAATTTTTTGCCCCCCCCCCCTTTACTTTTTTCGATATATCTCGAGAACCGCTGCGCCGATCGTCACCAAACTTTCAGTACCCTCCCGAGAACAGCTTGCGCACATGGTGACCAAAAATTTTTCCAAAGGCTATGATAGGTTGGCCGCTAATGACGTAAGAGTGACGTCATTTTTGCCATTTTCGACCCAAAAAAAGGTTTCGCGGGAAGAGCTGTCAGGCCTACAGCTTTAGAGATACAGAAAAATGTTTTAGACATAAGAGGTGTGGAATCAAAAGGGCTACAAAACTGCTATTTCGGTTTTTCAATTTTTTTGGATTTTGACCCCAAAAATCAAAAAATAGATTTTTTGAATATAATAGCCAAAAAATCCAAAAAGTTTTTTGAATTTCGAAAAAACGGAATATATGTGATAGTCCCTACCGCCTTCTATCTACATACCAAATTTGAGATCGATACCTCGTTTTTTGGCCAAGTTATAGCGAAAAAACTGTTCAAAATTGATGACGTCAAATTTTCAAACTCAATTTTTAGCAATTCTAGACCTCGTAGCGCAAAACAAAGACCACCATTAGACTCCCCGTGACGAGCTGCATCGAATCGATACCCATTTTGCGCAAAAATATCAACTTTGAAATTTGACCTTTTTTGACCTGACCTTGACCTGACCTCCACCAGAAAGTGACCTAAACCGTACCTGATGCTCTTATAAACAACACCATTGAGTTGGAAATGAAAAACTGGCCATAAAACTTGCATCACATAACCTTAGTAAAGTTGGGCTCATGTGGTGACCCTTGGTGACCTGACCTGTGACCTGACCTGGTATGACCAGTGACTTCTAATAGCAACATATGTACTAGACAACTGACGCCTTATCGCTGATTTTCGACAAAATGCGTTTTACTCGGTGTTATAGCGCTTTCCCTAGAAGCCCTGTGAACGGTGAAACATTTTATCTTTGACCTGACCTGTGACGTCATCGGTGACCCCGAGGTCAATGAAATTTGGTTTCCCTCGACAAATTTGACAGGGCTATCGAACGCCGTTTGAATTTTTCGGATCCGTCCAGTAGTTTCGGAGATACGGGGGGGGGCAAAAAAGTGCCCCCCCCCCCCACCGCGTGGAAGGTGGCTGGTAGGCCCACCGCCTGCCGGGTTAACACATACTTTCTGATGATTCATATCATTCATTTCATATCATCATTTAAGCATTACACATTTACATATGTACAATGTGTATTACACTATATAGTTGGCATTGTTAACTTGTAACTATTATACAGTTTATATGATAAATGATTATCATACTTTATTTTTTAAAGCAGGAATATGATTGATGCATTAAGTCTGTACCTTCCTACCTTGCATGTTAAAGAAAAATTGAATTAAGAATGGTAACAATGAGTTCCTTCCATCATCCAATTTGTTCCATCACTATTAAAATTTGGTTAAAACCACCTTATCAGAAATTTGATGTGTTCCAATCCTTATAAGGGCTTAGTACCTACCATCAACAATCAAAAGAACCTTTTCAATTTCCTTTTGCAGACATTAAATTTGCCAGCAATCAAACTTAAGTTTTAAACATTGACATGGACTTAACATGGCAATCTATGCAAATACAACACTGACCTATTACCAAAAAATAATTGGCACCTATACTATTCTAGGCCTATGCCAATGCCTACCTTATCACCCAAAGAAGTTGAAGTATGCCTGCGGCTGGAAAGTTCCTGTGCTGGTGGGGTGGTGGCAGTGCCACAGTGGTACCCATTCCAAAACACCTTTTTGCAGGCTAATGTGCAATTGTCTTGTTACCATCTTACACTCTACCCTCTTACTCTTTATCACCAATTTATTTTATTGCCAACATTGCAAGTGAAATACTGATATTCTGCTATACCTAAGGCCAATGCTCTTGCTTGTCCATTGCCATAAAACCCTTTCAGCTTTCAATCTTCATTCTACAATCCACTTCAAAACTAAAAGAATGGTTGTTAGCATCGTTAGCATGAAACAAGAGACATTCGTAAAAAGATAGCAAAAGACAGATCAAGATGGTTAAAATTAGATTTCAGACTTGTGCTATGAAACACAGCAATACAAACAGACCGAGACTGAGACTGACTGACCCCATTGCCAGTAGGAACGGAAAATCGGCCAGCAGCACGAACACCTGAAAAGTCATCTGACCGTGCATTATACACTGTGATCTGATCCAATCTGGCCTACCTACCTTTTGATGATTTTTCAAAATTGGAGTCGAACTGACTGGCCCGGGATCACAAAGGGCCGTCTTGTCCAATGTGAAGCTTCAGTATTCTTTGTTTCAAATGCCAGCGGGAATCGACGCCACCTTATCCCCAAAATATCAGCCACTGACCACCACACGGCTCGTCCCAGCGGCCAGCACTGGCCAGCACCAGCCAGCACCCAGCACCAGCACCACCAGCACCACACGTCCACGACGACGGACTGCGCCACTGCTCGGCACCCCTGATGGTTCAGCTGATTGTAAACAATACATCGAAGCCACATATTCTATTTTTTTCCACTAAAATCATCATTGACATTTTGAAAATATTTTTTAGCATTATTGGATAATGCGCATAGACAAGGATCTTAATATTTCTTAGTAAAATATTGCCTCGAAATGGAAAATTATGAAATAGTACACATACGAAAGAAAATAGTTCAGCTGTAAGACCACCATTGGTGGGAAATCTATGACGTCAGAATGACGCAGCGTAGCTGGTATTCTAGACCAATCACCGAGTACTGTGTGCCGCTTTTCAGAAACTACTTTCAAGTGACTATTGCGCCAGACGGAAAATGACGCTGGAGAGGAGGGGACGTGTTTGGAGTTAGCGTAAAGCCACGGCTTTGTGTGATCATTTGTGATATTTCAGAGTGTGTGGGCGAGTGAATTATTTGTAAGTATACTCTATCTGTCTTGTTTGAGATTTATGTATGATATCATTGCGTTGCAACGATTTATTCCCATGATTTGATGGCCGACATGTTTTCTTTGTTCTCCCAGCTGGATATCGGTTGATGCAGTTTTAATTAGTCATATCAATATGCGAGCATGTTTGCTGCTCTTATGGATGTAAGATTCATTCTTTAAGCATAGTTGTTTTTGAGGATCCCATAAATCATGCTTAAAGAAGATATGATTAGAAATATTAAAATACTGAGATTTTTTAGGGGAAGTATTCAAATAGGTTGGTGCAATAACCCAATTTCACTATGTATTTTGCATATTCATTATTTGTGTATCATGTAGACAACAGCGTAGGTAAATTAATTGATAAATACTTTCACAAAATAAGTTCTTTTACATTATTTGTATTCCGTATAATTCTACACAAGTTAAAAGATAGGTATGAACACATGCTGAGGATTATCAAATGACAGATGTGTTGGGTTTGATCACCTCAGAGTAACTTTGTACCTATTATGTGTGTCATGGAGCTACTTATTTATGAACCAAATTAAAGTATTAAAATTCTATATTGGTTTATTGGTTTTGATATGTATTGATATAATGCCTTTAACATTAAAAATCTCATTGAAATGTCTAAATATTCAATATTAGTATGATTTCCTGAATAAAAATGCTAGGGCCAAAGTAAAATATTCATTTATCAACTTAAATTTGAAAATAAGGTGTTAGAACAGTTAGTTCATGCTATTTTTCTATTCTGCTAAACATTTTTGTGCTTATTTGTAGTGTTAGCACTAAGATTGAATGGCATGTATGTCATGGCAGAACTGTTTCAGTGCACAAAGACTTTCAGAATAGGAATGTGATTCAACAGTTCAATATTCCTGAACTAGTGATGAGCTATTTATTGGTAACTTGATTTGATCAGGCTGGTATCATTTGTGTAAAGTTAAGTCACCCATGTCAGGACTCAGCTTAATTCTACATGCTAAAGCTAAGCATGCCTACCTTATGAAGAAAAAGAGTTACCCTTGGATTTCACAAGACATGGAAGTGGAACAATAAGACAACTAAGATCAATTTAACTTTGATGTTAAGTTATAAGTATACACACTACACAGTACATATCAAAACATCTCCAGACTCCAATGTTGTAAAATGTATTATTATGTCAAGACAGATTCTGATCAGGATTATTATGTCAATGTGTTGCTCAACCACAAGGCTTAAAAAAACATGCAAACAAACCAAATAGCATGCTCCCATTGCAACTGGTCATAGCTTTTTTCCAGGGTTTTAACTTTTTAAGTTGCATACATTTCTTTACCATTTCCAATGTTGATGTTCATTATAAATATTGAAACAAAAATATGTTTAGTCGTTGATGTAAAAGGATATAATTTCATTGTGCCTACATACCTATCTCATTGTGACACAAAATTTATGAATTCATGACTCATGCATTCATTTCATTATTTCATCAAACTCCACTAGGTTGCTCCTACTGAGCTAAGCATAAGCATGCATATTTCATGCACAAGACCATATTAGTTTCTTTCAAAGATGCAATTAGAACTTGAAACTCCTAGCTTTATTAGTGAGCCTGTCCACACCATCTTAGATAAAGAAGAGTATCATTGGAGATAAGTTTTGCATGTGCCACAGGATAGGTAACCTAATCAGATGTTTTATTGAAAGTTGAGTATGAGACACAATTTAAGGTAGGTATGTTGCCAAAATTTTCTTGAGATATGCTATTCACTTTTCAGGTCGACACGATTGAGCTGCTAAAGTACAAATAGAGCTTTATCATGGTTCAAACGTGGGGCAGAAGTTCGGTGGTTCGCAGTCAGCCTAGGGTTGTGCAGCCTTCACTGAAGAGGCACAGCCCGTCGCTGCAGGCGTTTGTGACGCCGCCGCGTCCAAAGACGCGCGCGCGACGCACACCACCCGGCACTGTGGCCCATCCGGAGGCGACGTTCAAGCCGATCGCGCCGGAGCGCGCGGCGTCCGCGCCGTCGAGTCCGGTGCGGTCCGAAGGTGGCTGGGAGTCGCCGTTCGCCGGTGCCAAGTTCAGCGAGCCTCCGGAGCCGCAGCATTTGCCGCGGCCGCCCACTCACTGGGCACCACAGATCTCAGCCGCTGTCGGTGACGGCCTGCACGATGCGTCTCGGCTGAAGGTGCTGCTGCAAGCTTGTGCCTGAGGCCGTGCCGCCGCTCGGCAAGTGGCCTCTTACGCTTTCATCAGAGACTCATGGAACGAAGAGTGCCGAAGCACACTCGGACACACGGCTCTTGGCTGTGCTGGGGGCAGTCTGGTGGTTTCCGTCTTGCTTCCACACGCCCGTGGAAGAGGTTATGATTGAATGCATGAAGAGGGATGGTTGGGAGGAATGGGTGGATGTGTGGGTGGGTGTGCGTGCGACTTGACAGGCGCGTTTGTCAAGGTTTCTGTGATGTGTTTTACGATGCTCAAAATAGTCGCTTCTTCCGGCATTTTGGTAATCGATTGTTTCCGGCCCATATCATTAGTCCTTTTACTGTTCAGAAATTGATTCGGTCGTTATCGTATTCTCTGTGTAGTCTTCATTCAGTTAGCGTAAAATGTGCTTCGTTCAGTGTGAGAGTTCAGTATAGGCCAACACTTAAGTTAAGACTATGCGCTTGTTTCAGCAATTAGTGATACCAGTGATAAATATTCATCGATCTTTATCACACTCGACAGCATCAGCAGCAGACCAAATTCGGTTAGTCATTGGTATCCTGTATTCGGTTTTGGCCGTGTGCCTGTTAGTGTTGCGTCGGTATATTTGATTGTGTGGCTGTCTAACGCCTGTCGGGGTCAGTGTCGATCCCCTGTTCCCCTATGGAGACGCCGCTGGCGTTTGGTTTTTACTGGGCCAGAGCGGGATTCGGCAGCGCACGCTGGTGATAGGCGCCAGCCGGCTGGTCCGGTTCGCCACAGCTGTTGGCGTTGGCCGGTCCTCGCGATGCCCGGTGACTGAGCGACGGGGATCTGCCAGCCAGCTCTCAGGCCACCCATCTCCCCCGTATCTCTGTTGTCGAGTGTGTCGATAGAATCCTCACGGTATTGGCTGATAGCGGCGGAGGCGTCCACGCCAGTGGCAAGTTTCTGGTTCTTGTGATGCGCAAGCTCTAGTCAAGGAACTTTGCCACACGTGCGCCTTTTTACCTTGTATATATCGCGTCTGTGAAGATTTATTTTTATTATTGTGGTAGGTTTTAACCGTTTCGGCGAGCTATCGTTGGGCGGACCGCGTCGCGAACCCCCAAGGTTGTCTGTTTGGCGGCTTTGTGCGGTAGGGAAGAGTGCGCGTTCAGATGCGAGGTGCCTTTGTCCGGTAGTACCTGGCCGTGTTGTCGCCACTTCATGTTGTTACGTCCAGTATGGGAAGGCCCGCAGCTCATGCGACAAGCGGGAATAGCGATGGCCTCCCTCGACCAAATTTCGGCAAACGATTGGTGGGTGAGTCCCGCAGTCTTTCTTGTGCCAAGTACAAAGACGTCACTGGCCAGGTACTACGCCCCCCACCATGCGAATACTAGATGCGGAGTGTTGCTTCAGTACCGTGTTGGACTTGTTGACCGGCGACGGGGACCGGCGATGTGCAAGAAGGCGCCGCCATCCGTCCTCGCCCGGTGCGGGATGATGATGATGGAATAAGCGGAAGGCTAGTATTGTTGGGGGTCAACGATTCTTCAAAGCTGTGCAGTACAAAGTCACCACATTCCAATCAGCTTGAATCTGGACACATGGTGCACTCGGTCTTGTCCCGCCTCTGACCCGAAGACGCGGGGGTCATGGCTGTGAACCGATGGGCTTCCCTCGCTCTGTGACCGCCGCCCTTCGACAGCTCGCCGAAAGCGTTGCTAAAACGATGAACAGCATTGTTAATGTGAACATTGGGTGCGCGTTATCAGCAACCGCTGACCAGTCTGCTCCAAGCCAGAGAGCAATCGCTAAATCTTGTTCCTGTGTCTAATCCTGATGTTGCACTTTGTCTGGTCCTGTCTCGAAGTTGAGTTTTGTACTGTTTAATGTATCGGCTGGTTCGAAATTGACTTCATGTGTTAGGAAATTGCGTGATCCCCATAGCGATGATTCTCTTCGGCGCTTCGTGTATCTGCTATTGTAATCGTGATGTCGCGATCGTCAACCGCGGGCAGTCGACCAAGCCCGGACGTCCGACGCTGCCATTGTACAACCATGTCATCTTTTGTCAAGCCCCACCACCAACCGGCCTCCCTTGGCTGCAGACTTCCTGATTGAAATGACCTTCACTTCTTCCTTTTGGCTTATCTGTTCTATCCTCTTTTATCCTTTCCTGTCTATTTTCTTCTTTTTCCTCCTTCGGGCCCCCTCGCGGGGCCCACAATCGATCATTAGATTTTAACACAGATTTAACCGGCGCTGGATGTGCCCTGTATGGGCTTCCAGTGACGGTTTGCACGTGCCTTGAACACGTGCGTTGGCGAAGCCTTTTCTAAGGGCTGCCAACTGGTGCTTGGCCAAGCG